CATGTGAAAAACTTTTTCAATTGAAGCTCAAAACAACAATACCTTTTGAATGATATAAAAAACTCAAAAATGGCTAGTTAAAAAGTCGAAATATGTCTGAAGAAACCTTCTGACAAATATTCCGTTACTTTCGTATCGAAAGTCGGAACAAAAAGAATTACCCAAAATTTTTGTAATTTAATTGAATATGATTGAAATTTTACCAGTCAATTATGGATCATGAGATGTGAAGAAAGTTTGAACATTCATTGCGGCAGATTCTCTCAGATTTATGAAAATTTAACAAAAACGCAAAACAAACTTCAAAATTTAGGTTCCGCTTTTTTCTTCGAAGTGAAGAAAAGTTTGGATTTGATGAACATAAAAACATTAAATGAAATAAAATAAAATGAAAAACTTTTTTTTCTAAAATTTGAAAATTTTTCTATGAAAATCGTCCCCACACCTCATATAAAGTACAAAATAATAAATTTCGCTCCTTGTAAAAAATCATTTATGGCAAATAAGCTTCTTTCAACCAATTTGGAACGATTTCTAAGACGGATTAATTCTCCGCTTACGCGTTAATAGCGCGAAATATATCGCGCGTTAATTGTCCCAAATTGGTCAAAATGGCCAAAATGGCAATCTTTAAACCCTCATAACTTTACGAAAACTAATCACAGGTGAAATATCTTTTCAAATTTAAGCTCAAGACAACAAAAATTTTTGAATGATATAAAAAATTTCCGTCAAAAATGGCTAGTTAAAAAGTCGAAATTTGTCTGAAGAAAAAAAAACCCACCCCGAGCACAAATATTCCGTTGCTTTCGTATCGAAAGTCGGAACAACAATTTCTCACAGTCATGTTACGAAAGTTAACTTTAGAAGACAAGCAACTGGGCAAAAAATAATAAGTGCTGAAAAAACAAAGCACAAATTATACGAACTAAGTATTGCTCAATTCCTCAAATTGACATCAGATTGACTTTGGAGAAGCAATTGTAACTGCCTCAACCATTGAAAGTATTTTACTAATTTTTATTTTTTTACTTTGAGCAAAGTAATAAGTGAAAATTATGATATGGTGAATCTCATACTCAGCCGAATTGAAGATGGAGTTTCCGGTAAAAACTTAAATTAGACATTTTTTGAAAAACTCCATCTTCGAAAACTATGCTGGTTATCAACAGAAAAAAAAACATATCTATATTTCTTTTTTTTGTTGTTAGTTTTTTGCCATATAATTTTTGTACCTTTTTAGCATGAGAATAGTTCAAACTATTTTTCCGCTTAAGGACGTTTGAAAGAATATCATTTGCCGTCTTTCACGCAAGCTAAGTTGAAAGTTATTTTCAAATTTTTTTTTTCATTATTGACCTGAAAATCAGGGGCGGATTTAGGGGGGGAGGGCGGGGGGGCGGACGCCCCCCCCTCAGGGATTCGACCCCCTGCCGACCCAAAGGGTCCCCCCTTTGATACTTTTTCAGAAATCCATTTTTGGCCGACCGACCCTAAAATTTTTCTAAAGGCGCCTTCGGCGCCAATATATACTAACTTTGAGGGGGAGCGCGCGCCAAAAAAACGCGATTTTTTTGTCAAAATTTTTCAAAAATTGCCCAAAAACGGCTGTTTTGACTGTTTTTTCAAAAATTTGCCTGCGGCGCAGAAAATTTAGCCAAAGTAGGGGCAAAACAGTGCTTTGGGAGAGCTCGAAAAATCAATTTGGTCGACCTAAAAAAAAAAAAAAGGTCGTCAAAATTTTGGAAAATTTTTTGAAAATCCGCCCCCCCCCCCCTCGAGAAAATCCTAGATCCGCCCCTGCTGAAAATAATTCGATTTTATTTTATTTGGAAAAACGTGTTCAAGACTGCAGAAAAATTTGCTGATTTTGCTGAATATTTAAAAAAACAGAATATATTCATGAAAGTCATTATAATGAATTTTGAAAAGATTATAATCTAATCTAAGTAAATTGTTCAAAAATAATGTACTATTATTGATTATAATCACTTTTCAATACCAAATTAAATTAGAAAACCGAGTGGGTTGCTTAATTGAATTTTTTATGATTTAGAAAAATTTGAGAAGCAAATTTTATATATTTCTGAATAAATTGTATTGAGTTCTCGGAACCATAAAAATGGTAATTGAGCTGTTCTTATAACTGAGAGTTTCGCGAACACAAACGTTTTTTGACTGTTTAGATATCACATTTTCTCACCTGTCTTCTGCTCTCTATATCAAATACGTCTCTGCATTGCACCAGGTGTTTGTGAGACAGTCGCTTGCACAGGGCTGAAAAGACATTCTGCGTCTTCGCTACCAATGCAACGGATGGTCACCATTTTAAATAGTTTCTAGATCACCTCATCTTTTTAGTTAATGTCAGGATCACCTCAAAATCACAAATATATATAATAGAGGCGATACAAAAAAAACCGTTTGTTGACCAAAAAACGTTCATAATGCTTTCAAGTTTTCACCATAAAGGGCACAAACATTTATTTTAATGAAAATTCGGAAAAGTTGCAATAAATGGTTCCGAGTAAATGTATTGATCATTTAATTGCTAATTTTGACGCCAACGTAAAAACACTGGATTCAACTATTTCTGATCATTTTCCCGTAATTGTATCTGGTTACGTGAATGTTGATCCGCAAGAAAATCAAGATAACTGCTATAGAAATCTTAAAAATCTTTACCGTGACGATAATATTTATAAATATTTATTCCTCTTAGAAAACAAATTGTCAAAATTTTATAAGCTTAGTGATCCCAATGAGAAATTATGTCTGTTAGTTGAATCCATAGTTTCATCAATTGATCGTTTTGCTCCCTTAGAAAAATTGAAATCACAAAAACAGTCATGGGTTACCGATTCAACCAAAAAAGCCTTCAAAAACCGCAATCGGCTTTTCAGTAAGTGGGTACGAAATCCTACTGAATTGAATAAACTGAAATATTCTCAAGCTAGAAATTTAGCAACCAAGTTAATAAGAAATGAAAAAAGAGTTTATTACGACAAAAAAGTTGGAAATGGTAGAAATTCGAAAACGCTGTTCCAGGCCTTTAATGAATTTTGCAAAGGAAACTCCAAAAACACGTGTTTTTTGGCTGCTGATGTTTTTAATGAATTTTTTGCCTCAGTTGGCGAGAAACTGAGAAATCCTGAATTCGATTACAAAGAAGCGTTGGGTTATGTAGATCGCATCGAAAAATCAATGGTGTTTTATGAAATTACCCGCAAGGAAATTGAAAATGCCATATATATGTTGAAAAACAAAGGTTCAAATGGTCATGATGGCATAAATAACAAAATTATAAAATTATCGCTGCCTGTAATTTCTGTAAGAATTTGCAGCCTTTTCAACCAATGCGTTAAGAGTGGTTATTTTCCTCAAGGCTTAAAAGTTGCAAAAGTTGTTCCCCTTTTTAAGGGAGGTTTAAAAGATTCTTTGGAAAATTATAGACCTATTAGTTTACTCAGTTCACTCAGCAAAATTTTCGAAAGCATAATATTCAATAGAATGTATAACTTTGCTAATAAGCAGAAGCTTTTTTATGAAAAACAATTTGGATTTCAAAAGAAAAATCATGCGTGGACGCATTAATCGAATTCACCGAATTTATTAGAGAGGGATGGGACAAAAAATTAGTTGGTAAATCATGCCTTGTTGATCTCAAAAAAGCATTTGATACCATAAATCATGATCTTCTTTTGGCAAAATTGGAAAAATACGGATTTAGAGGCCGGATTCTTTGTCTTCTAAACAATTACTTTACAAACCGATTTCAATTTATTGAAACTGATAATAAAATATCTTCTAGTCGCTTTATGCCATGTGGAGTACCGCAAGGGTCAGTTTTAGGTCCGTTTTTGTTTTTAATATATATAAATGATCTTCCGAAAATTGCTGAAGGATCTGAGGTTGTTCTATTTGCTGATGATACTACAATATGCAAAGCAGAAAAAAATTGTTTCGATAGTTTTGATAGTTCGTTAAGTAAAATGGATAGATGGTTCAAAACGAATGGACTTTGTGTCAATCCTGGTAAAACTCAAATAATGAAATTTGGTAATAACTTTTCAAAAGATTACTTTGCTTTTGGTACTACAGTTCAAATTACAAATGTGTGTAAATATTTAGGCATTTTTGTTGCTAAGAAACTTACTTTCAAATTTCACATTGAACATGTGTGCAAAAAATTAATTAAATTTTGTGGCATTGTCTGGAAAGCTAGGTATGTTTTTTCTAAACAGCAGATGCTTCGCTTCTACAAAGCATATATAAATCCTGCAATCACTTATGGAATTTTAATATACGGCAATACTTCCCAATCTCACCTTACCGAGATAATGAAACTACAAAAAAGAATCTTGAGAGCAATTTTTTTCAAACGTAGATATGAATCAATTAAGGAAATTATGGACGAAAACAAATAGCTTAATGCTTTTGATTTATACTTTTTTGAGATGTTTAAGTACTTGTTTATGGAATTGCAATCTGACAAAAAAAATGGTTTTCTGTCTCAGATTTACTCCCAAAAAAGTGGACTATGTACCAGGAGCAAAGCGAAAGGCGTAATTAAAGTGGCAAAATTTTCTACTACCGCTAAACAGAGATCGCTTACAGTTAGAATTGTGCAGGCTTTTAACTATTTAAAACAAAATGACTTGATACCTGTTAATATACATGAAATGTCAGAAGTTAGTTGTTTGAGACTCTATAAACAGTTTTTTCAAACTTACCTAAAAGCCAATCAGGACCTCTACAAACTGTTTTTTAATTTCAGCCCTTAATTTAATTTGTTTATTGAGTTGATGCTGGCTATCTTCTCTTTACTCTCCAGGATATCCTACTCGATGAGCAGTACTGCTCTTTAGGATCTCCCTCCAGGCGAGGCATAATATATTGCTTTTGGCGTTGTATTTGTAGCTGGTAAAGTAATTGAAATTTCAAATTTCAAATTTCCTCGCAGTCAATATTTAGTTTTTTCTAATTGAGATCTCAATTTTTGTATTGCTTTAATTCTCATCACTGGAATGAACAAGATGTCAATTTTTGATGCGAATTTTCGAAAATTTTAGTCGGAACTCAGCATTGAAAACGTTGAAAGCAATAACCGAGAAAATCAATTGAATATTTTGTATTTCAAGCATTGATCAAGGCATACATAAATATGCCATACAAAAGAAAAAAACGTTTTGAACATTTTAGTAAACAAAATTTCCAGAGAATAGGGACAAAAATGTATTAAGGATTACATTATGCTCACACAAAAAAATTGAATGCGAAATTTTTTAAAAAGTTTTTATTTGAGCTTAAAAATCGTTTTACAGTAAAATTGTTGGGCATTTTTGAAACTTTTAAAAATTTTCTAATAAAGTTTTTTGACAAAAACCTGTTTTTTATTGATGACGATGCATCGACTATTATAACAGAACAGGAAAAATTTCGTTAAAATTTCAATTACACATTTTTTACAGAGTTTTTTTGTATTTTTTGCAGACTGAGTTTATGGAATTGTAAAGTTTGCATTTTTGGTCTATGAAGGTCAACTAAAAAGTTTTTATACTACTATCACTGAAATTTTAAAAAAGTTTTCAAGTTTATTATATTTCTATTTAAACAATAAATATTTCTATTTCTATTTAAAAATACTTCAACTTAAACAATTTTCATAAAATGTATGACAACCTTTTTTCAAAGTTTCCTTGCCAGGTGTTGTTTGACCGCAAAATCAGATATCGCAGCTAAACATCGGAAGGGGTCTAGTGAAATATAACATTAAAAAACTCCAAAAAGTTCTCTGGTGAGAAAAAAAAATTTTGAAATTTTTTGAATTTCAGTCAAATTTCGAACAAGTAAGGTTTATTGCAGAAGGCTAAAGCATGAAATTTAAGTTTCACTCTAGAAAATTTTAGAAACTCTAGCGCCATTTTAGAATAATAAACTTCAAAACATCCAAAAAAAAATGCGGAAATTTTTCTACATTTTAGGATTTTTTTTTGTTTTCTTATGATCATTTGTCTAGTCTTTACTTGACAAAAACTGATTACCATTTTGCCTATTTCACTATGATTGTCATTTATTCTTAAGTGCTAGGCTTCATTCAGATCTTTTTATCACACCACGCAAAAACGACACTACTTTGAAATAATAACTTATGACGGTTTTTTTTAGAATATGGTCAGAACATTCTGTGCTACTTGCACAGCAGCAGGCTACCCTTGTAATACTTTAGAAGGTGATTCCTCAGTCGAACAAGAAAACTCATCTATGTTGCTCACCAATTTCTACAGCCAGACGGGGCAAGTCGGCTTTGGCATAGTTGTCTTTCAGAATGACCTGAACACAAAAATGACAAGTACACTATGTGTTTCACGGTAATGGTACTTTTAAAAAAAAACAATATAAATTATGTCGTCACATAGCTATGGTTATTGTCGTCATATAGCTACGATGAACTTTGAAGAACGTATTTTGTCTTCTGAATAGCGAGCGATTGCATTTCAAAATATCTTTTGCTGGTTTTAATCGAAAACTGTTGAAATCATATCATAATCTGTTCCTCAAAAAGGGCTGAACAAAGAATTTAAATCCTTCAAATAATTTGATCGATCTGCAATGTACCTTTACAGCCACAGGTTCCCTTGTGTTCTTGTCTAAGCCCTTGCACACCACCCCATAGCCCCCATCCCCCAATTGGGTCTCTGAGAGGGTGTACTTGGCTTCGAAGCGACGCAACTCCCCACAGGTGGTCAAGGCAGACATCTATTTTGATCACGTAAAAAACCAGTGATATACCACGTGGTTAAACAACACTGTTAACTCGTTGATAATTTGTTATTGGTACTCGGTTTCCTGATTTCCGAACAATTGTAAGATTTTTTTGTAAATAATTTTAATTATAAAAAACAGTTTAAGGTTGAAAATTCAAAACTTTTACTGCTGCTTTTATGATGATGAAAAATGTAGAAGAAAATTATCTAGTACAAACTAGTTGAAAGATATTTTATTTGATCTATGATTAAAATTTTGATTTTCTTGGAATAAGTATTTAATAGATCTAATAATCCATTGGATGCTTCCAGAGTGGCGGAAAAAGGCTGTACCAAATATAAAGCGAACCGTAAAAGTGATTAAATGCCAAAAACGAATTACTGTGGGATATACTCTCTGATTTTAGTGGTTTGATTTTCAAAGACAAACAAACAAAACATCTGAAGGCAATAGACCATATAGTTTATAATGCTTGCAGACTATAGAAAGTAATGTGTTTGGTTAAATACCATCGAAACCAGTTTTGAGCAACTTGGTATCAGTATAGAGCTTCAAAAAACCAATGTTTAAATATTAATACGAGAATTTTAAAAAATCTTATGTTTTCAATGTGTAATCATAATATTGTTTGAAAAATTTTTCTTTCATCGTAAAAAAATGGTACACAGAAAAATGAAAAACTGGCGACGTTATTTTCCCCGTAGTGTTCAGTTAAAACAAATATTTCACTGCTTCTATAATAAGAGTCCCAAAAAACTGAAATAGCGCAGCTTTTCAGCACTACAATGATCAAAGCAAGAAGAGAAACAAAACATGATTGGCAGGTTGGCCGTACAAGTAGAACAGAAAGTTCCGACCACGTTTGTTTTTTAAACAAGCGTGTTTTTTTAAACAAGTGTTGAAATTTGAAAAAAATGAAGATTTTTTCGCATACTTTTTTCATTTTTCTTCAATGTTTTTTTTTCAATAAATTAGAAAAAAGACGGACTGAATTACTGAAAAAGTTTTTTAGAAATAGGTAATAATTGCGAAGTAGCTCCGATAATCGAGGAGAAATTTGATTGGAAATTCAGCCTAAAACTTAATCTGTCTGAAATTTACTCAATGCCAGTTTTTCTCAACACTGCGATAAAACTCTTCGAAATATTATTTTAAATCGGAGTCCTAACTGCGCTTATGAATGATATTACATTTGACCCTCTCCACTACGATCTTTTATACGGTAGTCAACAAAGAAATAAAACGTAGATCATAGTTTCTTCCCACTTCGTAAAGAGGTGTGGGAACAACAAAACTGCTCAAAAAACCTGGAAAGTTTCGAGTGTCTTTTAGGGTGTTTGAACTCAATATAAGTTGAAAGTTTCTATAGTTTCTCTATTTTTGATTATCCTCCCTGTAGTTTTTGTGTAATTAATTTTTGAAATTAAGGAAAAACTGAAAGAAAAATTGAAACATTTTGAAGTTGCTTTGAAATTTTGCTCGCACTTACAATGTCATCTAAAAATTTTTTTCTTTCAAAATACGACACTAAAAAAATTGAAACATTTTCTCATGTTCATTTTTTCACTTTTGATAATATCTCTTAACCCCAACCAATCAACCAATCCCAAACCTGCCTCACGCATTAAGAACTCGTCAAAGACAATTTCTAATGAAAAATGTACATCAATGATCGCAAACCGAACCCAGAACAATGAGTTATAAAAGTTTGATGTTAAATGTTGGTTAGAAAGAATTTGAAGAGGTATGAGAAAAACTATATATTGGTTGATTTCTTCAAAAACTGGAACAAAGACTTTTTCCACATAAAATCGGAATAGTTATTATTCGTTCTTTAAGCACTGATTTTAGAGATCTACTGTTAAAACATTATCCCTGGTCAAGATGCTCAATTTATGGTTTTCTGTTTCAACTTTATCGACCAAAAATTGGTATGTTTTGACTTTCTTGACCAAATTATGGCATTTTTTGACTTTTTCGACCCAACAACAAATGTTCGTTTTTTTTACCCAGCTCAGATATGTTTCAACTTTTTCAACCAAAACCGATATTTTTCGACTTTCTCGACTGTCTTGACCGACATTAAAAAAACTATTTGTTTGACCCCGCATAGATGGGTCAAAAATCCCGCGTCGACAAACAAAAAAACTTTCTCGTTTTTATAGTCGGCTGTGGTTTCTCCAAAACACTGTTCAAAAAGTTTTTTAGTTTCTCAGTAAAATTACATCTGATTAAAATTTTTCGATCTGAAAAAGTAAAATAGTTTGATTCAGCATTTATGGTTTTCATTTTCAATCAAATAGCTCAGATAGTTCGGCAGTTTCTATTGCGCCTTTACAAAAATTTTGTTAAAATTTTTTCGTAAAACTCTTTTGGTACAGCCTATTTGTGGAAACGGTACCAAACGTTTCAAAAAAGTCTGCTCGACCTATGATTTGACGGTGCTCAAACTAGGTTTAGATTGTGCTCGACCTATGCTTTGACTGTGCTCGACTTATATTTTTACTGTTTTTTTGACAATTTCCAAATTGAATTTTGAATCTTGAAGTTTAAATAAAATCTTGAAAAAAATAAATAAAGTTTTGTAAAAAATTATTTTGTGCTCGACCTATGTTTCGACTTTTGTCGACGTATGTTTCGACTTTCTCGACCAAAATCAGACACGCTTCGATTCTGATCGACCTTTGTTTTAACTTTTTTGAACTTTTTTATTGTCTTTATTGACCAAAATTGTGTATGTTTCGACTCTCTCGGTCGAAATGGGTAGTTTAAGATTCTGTGCTCGACTTAAAGTAGCTTCTCGACCGCAAAATTTTAGACGCAAAACTGCACTTGCTCGACTTTCAAAGTTGAAATACAAGACGAAAACCTCGACCCGGGATCTGATAACAAAGTAATTGGGAGAGTACGCATCAATTGGCGCCGTACACACAACAATTACTTCCTTTTGACACCCATGAAATGACCGACTGAGCTAACTTCCTCGAGCAAAAGCATCAAAGACAGCATGAGACGCTTTTAAACAATCTTCAGCAAAAAAAATACTAGTGGTTAGTTGATGTGCCCAACCAACAATCTACATAAATATACAGTTCCTCAGAGAAAAAAAAACCTAAAGGAAAAAGACTCGACGAGTAATTGCCCGATTTAATCCTGCTAAAAATTGAAACTGAAAAAATGAAACCGCTTGGTCGAGGTCTTTAACAATTAACTAATCAGAACACTCTCAAATAGTATAGAATTATTCTTTCAGGCTTAGTTTTCTTTCCGACTTTCGAAGAAAGTGACGGAATATATGTGCTCTGGTTGTTTTTTTTTCTGCAGACAAAATTTTTTTTGTTAACTAGCCATTTTTGACGGAAGCTTCTTAATATCAGCTGAAAAGTATTCTTGTTTTGAGTTAAAGATATCCAATATCCGTCCTAGAAATCACTTCCAATTGAAATGATGCATGCTGTTTGATCTATTCAATATTTAACTTTATGCTTTATATATTACTATGTTCGTTAGATAGTGTGTGCGGAATGATTTTGCGAAAATCTAACAAAAAATAAATTTTGTTATGAAAGTTTGATCTTCATTAGTTTTTTTGAAGCCAATTTTTTTCCAAAAGCTATAAAGAGCTTTGGGACAACTCAAGGCTTCCCTTGCCTTGAGTTGAGCAGTTATGTTATTTTTTTATCGATCCTCTTTCTCAATATCTTTTGATTACTTCTAATTGTCACCTCGTACAAATTGTCAAGCGAAGTCAGTATTCACTTCAAAATGAAAATAAAACTGTTTTTTTTTGTTTTTTTTTTCAAAAAAAGACAAGACTACACGTATCAGGGCGACGTGTTGAATGTTCCGACTGCCCTTTAAAGACCATGGAGTCATGTTTGTTTAAAAAAATGATGAAGTTTTCAAAAATCATTTGGAGGCCAAGCTGTGCACTGGATAGGTGCACAATTTTGTGTCTGTATGTTCCTGGATTCCAGATACAAGTCTTTTAATATGTTTCAAAATGTAAGTGAATTCCACAAACAAATTCTTAGTGGATTCTGCATATATATACCTGTAACGTAAATTTTCTTGGCACAGTTATTTTGTTGCGGATTCCGCAACAAGCTAATACAGCTAGTTGTTCTCGATTCCGCAACTGTAAGTGGATTCCGCAAATCCGCAAATTTTTGGAGCGATTTTGAGCAGTACAATGATTTAGGTATTGTTTTGTGGAATCCAAAAAAGCATAGAAAATCAAAGAAAAGTAGCAATGTTGCAGATTCCGCGACCAATCTGATTTTGGCCTGTTGCGGATTCCGCTTACAATGCAGAGAATTCAAAGTTTGGACTCGTAATGGTAATTTGAAAACAAATGTAAGGAAAAAAAAATATATTTTCATCATCCAGCTAAGTTTTAATTAGATAAAATAGCATCCCTCACTTCAGTTAGGAATGACTGCCCGATTTAATCCTGCTAAAAATTAAAACTGAAAAAATGACACCGCTTGGTCGAGGTCTTTAACAATTAACTAATCAGAACACTCTCAAATAGTATAGAATTATTCTTTCAGTCTTAGTTGTCTTTCCGACTTTCGAAGAAAGTGACGGAATATATGTATTCTGGTTGTTTTTTTTCTGCAGACAAATTTTTCTTTGTTAACTAGCCATTTTTGACGGAAGATTCTTAATATCAGCTGAAAAGTATTGTTGTTTTGAGTTAAAGATTTCCAATATCCGTCCTAGAAATCACTTCCAATTGAAATGATGCATGCTGTTTGATCTATTCAATATTTAACTTTATGCTTTATATATTACTTTGTTCGTTAGATAGTGTGTGCGGAATGATTTTGCAAAAATCTAATAAAAAATAAATTTTGTCATGAAAGTTTGATCTTCATTAGTTTTTTTGAAGCCAACCTTTTTCCAAAAGCTATAAAGAGCTTTGGGACAACTCAAGGCTTCCCTTGCCTTGAGTTGAGCAGTTATGTTATTTTTATCGATCCTTTTTCTCAATATCTTTTGATTACTTCTAATTGTCACCTCGTACAAATTGTCAAGCGAAGTCAGTATTCACTTCAAAATGAAAATAAAACTGTTTTTTTTTTGTTTTTTTTTTTCAAAAAAGACAAGACTACACGTATCGGGGCGACGTGTTGAATGTTCCGACTGCCCTTTAAAGACCATGGCGTTATCTTTGTTTAAAAAATGATGAAGTTTTCAAAAATCATTTGGAGGCCAAGCTGTGCACTGGATAGGCGCACAATTTTGTGTCTGTATGTTCCTGGATTCCAGATACAAGTCTTTTAATATGTTTCAAAATATAAGTGAATTCCACAAACAATTTTTTTTGTGGATTCCGCATATATATACCTGTAACGTAAATTTTCTCGGCACAGTTTTTTTGTTGCGGATTCCGCAACAAGCTAATACAGCTAGTTGTTCTGGATTCCGCAACTGTAAGTGGATTCCGCAAATTCGCCTATTTTTGGAGCGATTTTGAGCAGTACAATGATTTAGGTATTGGTTTGTGGAATGCAAAAAAGCATAGAAAATC